CTAACAACCTGCCCTGGACTTCCCACGTAGATGCAACAGTCAAGAAGACACAACAATGCCTCTTCTTCCTCAGGCGGCTCCGGAAATTTGGCATGTCCTTAAGGACCGTCACCAACTTCGACAAATGCACCACTGAAAGCGTCACTGTCTGGGTGCATAATGACCTGATATGGCAACTATACTGTCCAGGACTGTAAGTAACTACAGGTGGTGCACACAGCCCAGTCAACCTGTTCCTGTCAGTGTATGGTAAATTCATTTACGTAGTCACACAGCAGAGACTGCTAGGGATGAGTTGATAACTATAGAACCATAAAAATGTTACAGCACAGAGGGGATCATTCAGCCCATTTTATCGATGCTGACCCAAAGACCCCCAGATGCCCCTCCTCATTCTATCTTCCTGCACACAGCTTGTAACACTGCAGCTTACAGCACTTAAGGTGCAGATCCAGGTAATTTATCTTTAAACAAGTTTAGAACCTCTGATTCCACTATTAATTCAGGTAGTGAATTCCAGATACCCAGCACCCTCTGCATAAAAAGCATTTTTCCTCACATATCCTCTGATCCTTCAGCCACTTTCCTTCAATCGATGACCTCTAGTTTTTGAATTCTCTGCCAAGGGAAACAGGTTCCTCCTGTATACTCTATCTCTCCCTCTCACAATTTAGTTTTCCTTAATCATGGCACCCCTCAGCCTCCTCTGTTCCAAGGAATATAACCCCAAACTCTCCTTGTAGCTGCAATTCTTCAGCCCTGGCAACATTCTGGTAAATCTCCTCTCCACCCCTTCCACAGCAATTACATCCTTCCTGTAATGTGGTGACCAGAACTGCACACAATACTCCAGTTGTGGCCTCGCCACTGTTTTATACGGTTTCATCATTACATGCCTACCTTTGTATTCCATACCATTGCCAATGAAGGGGTGCATTCAACATGCCTTATTTACAACCCTAAACACACGTACCACTACCTTTAGGGACCTGTGCACTTGCATGCCAAGATCTCTCATTTCATCTACCCCTCTCAGTATATTCCCATTTCTTATCTATTCTCATTTACTGTGTGACCTTCCCAAACTGCATTACCTCTATCAGAACTAAACTCTCTCTGCCACTTTCCTGCCCACTCCACCAAACCATCTGTATCACTTTACATCTTACAATTATCCTCTCTGTTACCCACATCAGTTTCTGCTGTGTCAATATGTCAATGTAGTTATTATTCTGCACTTGTCAGTTTCTGGTTTGTGAATGCGTGAATGAATTTATCATTCTGTACAGTCTGTTTTTCTGTGTGAATGTGAGGATGTAGTTATTAATCCGTATCTGTCAGTTTCAGCTAGGAGAATGAGAGTTTCATTGTCGATCGCTGCCTGTCAGTTTCTGCTCTGTCAATATGTGAGTTTAGCAATCGGTCTATCCCTGTTAGACTGCTGTGCGAATACGTTTGTATAGTTATCAGTCTGTACTGGTCAACTTCTGCTTGGTGAATATGTCCCTTATAGTTTCTTTTATGTCAATATATGAGTTTAGTTATCAGTGAATACCTGTCAGTTTCTTCTATGTGAATACGTGCATGTCATTATCTATCTGTACCCATGACAGTGGATGAGTGTAGTTATCGATCTGTGTCTGTCAGTTTCTGCTCTGTGAATAGGTGAGTGAAGTTACCAATCTGTCCCCGTCAGTTTATGCTATTTTAAACCGAGACTGTTATCATCAATCATTCTGGCCTGTGAATGTGTGATTTTACCTATCAACATCCATCTGTCAGTTTCTGGCTTTGAATGTGCGAATGCATTTATCAATGTGTAACTGTCAGTTTTTAACTCTGTGAATTTGCATGTAATAATAATATTCTTCATGTCAGTATCTGCAACATAAATGTGAGAGTGCATTTCCCCATCTGTCCCTGTCAGTTCCAGCTCTGTGAATCTGAGAGTTATGAGTTATTAACCTGTACCTGTCAGTTTCTGGGTTTTGAATGCGTGAATGCATTTATCATTCTCTCCCAGTCAGTTTCTGCTGTGTGAATGGGCGAGTAAAATTATCAGTCCATGCCTGTCAGTTTCTGTTGTTTGAATGTGAGAGTGTCATGATAAATCTGTACCTATCAATTCCCGCCATGTGAACGTGAGTTTCATTATCAGTTTTACTTTGTCTGTTTCTGGAATGTGAATGAGTGAGTGTGGGTATCAATCTGTACCTGTCAGTTTCCACTGTTGTGTATCAATGTGCCTTGATTCTCTGGCAGCTAGTAATATTCTCGGTGACTATGCAACACATTCTGATATAGCTATTAGGGTGTTGAGACTGGGTATTAATCTCTTTGGCATTTTGTGACTTCTGAGTTGACTGTCAGTTGGCAGGATCTAGGAGGGGTCATAGAGTGGGACTGCTTTCCTCTGAGAACCATTCTGAATCAACGACACGTTTTCTAGCTTGCGTGCTGAGTGTGAGTTTTATATACCGCATGTACCGGATGCTGGCTCTCTGTGTCAGTACGGGATTTTTTTTTTCAGGGTTCCATAGCATCAATGAGATATTTAGATTCATTTTGTATTGGACCTTGTTAGTGCTCTTTCATTAGACAGAGTTTTGTTCTGAACCTGTCTGTCTATTTCTACATTATATTTTTATACTAATACTCTACACAACAGAATGTCATTTCCTTCATCACCAGGATCAGAATCAAGATGAGATGCAGTGTGGAAGCAGGCCATTCAGCCTATTGTGTTTGCACTGGGACATTCTATTCTGCATACTAGTTTCCAGTAGTTGTTGAGAATGTGAACTTCTTCCGCTCACT